ACAACACAACACGAAATGAAAGATATGACACCATATGATACACTTTATTGTCACCTTGGAGAAATTTGTGTATAACTACAATGAAAGGCCTAAAAATACACAACATAATTTTCTTTGATATATTTCAGGTAATTTTTAATGTTTACTATCCAACATCACCTGAATTGAATGTCTTTTGTTTTGTCATTCAGCCATTGTCTCTGACTGCTTTCAGTTCATTCACAAGCTGTTTTCCGTTTGCTGTATACCCACTGAGAGAAGCACATAGTGGTAAAACACTGCTGGTAACACTGTTATGTGAACACTTATTTAATCTTCATGCAGGAGAAGAATTAGACAGGTATATGGACCTCATGTTACCACCCTAGCTCTTGAAAAGGCACTTACACATGGAGATTTTACCCACCGGGACACTTAGGCATCATCATCCTTTTATGATGAATGTGGCCGAGCAGCTACTTTTATGGAGCTATAATTTAACTTTCTGATCCTTTACTCCTTTCAATCAATCTCTACTTTGGGTTTTCATTTTTTGAAATACATAAATGTGCTAAATTAATAATGGTCCTAATATAAATGGAAAATAACCAACATGATTTGACTTAATTAGCAGCAGTTATGACAGTACACGAACACCAAGAGGAAGCAAAAGATTCTGAGTTGTAATTTGATCTGAGTCCAATTTTAAGGCTCATTTAACAAATTTTCATTCAGTCATTCAACATGTAATTCACTTTGCACAGTTTGTTAAATCACCCGACTCTTTAAATCATCAGTGTTCAGGTTCCACAGGTGACAAGCTCAGTCACGGGAGAGGAAGCAAGAACAAAAAGGTGGTTTTAATGATTAACTTTGGTTAGAAATTCAAACTTTGTCTTTCAAAGTTTCACCGCCTCATCTGACTCAGAGACTGATTCAAGGTCTTCGGGGCTGAAATGAAGTGTTCTTGCTGCCTCTTGGCCTGCGATTGCATCATAAGGTGAAAGATTCGTGATGAGCAAAGACGCCTGAAAAGCCTTGATTCCCACGCTTAGTGACAAAAGTAATGAAAAGAGTCATTCTGAAGACCTGTCATGCTCTAAAATGTAACAGGATATGCAGTTAAAGAAACTCGTGTAACGTCTCTGCAAAAAGAAATAATTTCGAGCTGATGACCAACAAGTCTGCTGACCTTTAACCTCAGAGGACTGAGTGATGGTAAACTTCCAAGTGAAGTGTGTGGATGTTTATTCGTCGGTGTATTATTGAGCTTTGCTCTGCTGTTTGTTATTCGGTATCTCACACTCTGAACAGGGTGGTATAAATCCCTCACATTTCACATTCTGGGACATGAAACCATTTTTGATGTTTATTTAATGTGACATTTACCACAGACTAGAGCTTCAACTACTGGCCCTTTCACATGTGATAATTTAAGACACATTTACGGATGTAAAGTCAGGGCTTCGTGTGTTTTCCCTGTGCAGGTTGGTTCAGGTGGGGTTTTTTTTGGTTACATTCGTATTCTTGTTTATACTGGTTCTTTTGGAGATTTTGCAACTCACTTAAGCACTGTCCCCCAAAGACGACAAATCCAGTTCCTGAGATTTTGTGTTTTTGCTGCTTGTACTGCAAAAAGCAACCAAGGAGTGCCCAAAAATTACACTCCAAGGGCCTGATTTACAGAAATGATTGGGTGTCTTTACTGTCTGCCTAACTGAGCAAAAATGGCATCCGCTAATTTACAAAACACATTGAAGAAGTGAAAATGCAGGTCTGGACAGTCTTGAAATACTGTCACGGCAGCTGCTCTGGAGGTATAAATGTTAGGCTGACAGTAACAGCCCATTGAAAAGTTGAGGGTAGGTGCTCCGGGAATAAGGTAAGACTCGAAGTGTCATGTTCAGGAGTTCGGTTTGGCACCGAATTTTAAGAAAGGAACAAATAGTCCAAAGATTAAGTGATGGCATCAAATTGATCGCAGAGAAGTATGGAGGAGCAAGGCAGAGGGATCGATAAACATCCAGAGAGAGAATAAGAACTGTCAGAGAGGAGCTGATGTGGCAGTGGGGGTGAAGAAGAAGATGATGGATCTTCACTTGAGGTGGCAGAAGCGGCAAGAGAGGAAGAGAGCGAGAAAAATGTCTTGGGTTGAGGGAGTAATCCTCCTCCTCATTGATGAACGTTTCTCCTCGCTTCATACATCATCAACGGGCGACAGCGTCTCAGGACTCTGATCGATATTATCAGAGTTTTACGGTTGTTTTTCTTTCCTCAACTATCTCTAACATACATTACAGAGCTGACAAACAGCAAAAGGCTGCTGTTATGACAATGCGGGAGTCGCTCTTGGACCGTTTGTGTCCAATGAAAGCCAACAAGATACTAACAAGATATCACTTTTATGAGCAGTGCTCGCCAAGTTTCTCCTGTAGGACAGCTGCGATCACCTTCAAAATACAGGTTGGTCATTAATTAAAATGGAGAATTATACAGGAGCATAAATTCAGGATGACAAAAAATAAAACAAACAGACCATAGAGAGCAGTAACAGGTCCCATTTACAACACCTGTAAACCCTTCATCGTAAAATGAGGCCAAGTTTCTGCGAGGAAAACAGTCATTGGATTTTGCTCATGACACACTTTTACGACAAGTCAACACACCAAAGTCCTTGAGAAGTTATTTCCCGTGTCCGACACCTCTATCCAGACTAGCAGCATCTTGGCAGGTTGATAAGATAAGAGCTGCGACGGCCCAATAGTCTTCTCTGGTCAAGGCCAACAAAGGAACAGCCATTAATCATGTCAAAGCCCACCTGAAGAAAGCTTTGAAGGGAGGTGGGACAAAACAAGTCCAGCTCCAGTATGGATTCATCTTCTCTTTGTCAGCTATGTCACAAATACACACATCTCACCTCATTTTAGTTACTAAAAGTGACATAAACATCCCCAAATTAGAAGTTTTAGCCTTTCATATCTCTCAATCATCCTACGACTTCAATAAATAGGCCATGGACTTTGAGGACGAGAAAGAAAGCAAAGAGGAAATAAAATTTACAAATGATATAACAACGCTGCTGGCTCATATTTCAGTAATTAGTTATAACTACCCCAGTTTTCTTCCTAAAAAGATGCTTTTCACAAACCAGATTGTATGACTTATTATTACAATACCCCTGAGCTGAATTTTCCAGGCGTAAGAGAGGAAAATCACATCAGCTCCAAATACAGAATTGGAAAGTGCGCTAAATTAAACTGCTCAACAGTGTGGGGAATAAACTTATGAAATGTAAACATCGACCACCCACTGGATAAGTGTTCAGCCTCTCTAATATTTTATCAGGGTTTGGCTGGTGGTTGGTGATAATTTCCCACCCTGCTGCTGCTGCTGCTGAATGCTTTATCAGGATCCAGAAGCTATAATTAGCATCATCAGCTAGACATGGGGGTTGGAGATTTGATTTAATGTGTTGCATATTTCTGACTTTTCCATTTTTCTGTTTTTTCTGTTTAGGCGAGGGAGATTTTTAGCACAATTGCTCATTTTTAAAGGGACTGTGAGGCAGTGATTATTGGAGGAAAGGAAACCCAACCGACGAAATCTTATCAACCAATATATTTTAAGATCTGTGTCCTTTTTCTACGCTGACATTTTAATAAAATATAAAAGCAACGGCACGTCACTCTGGCCAATCAGAATCATTCAGCTGATCGGAAAGTTGGTGCACCACCAAAGGTGACCAAGCCAGCATCTAAAACTAGAATATCCACTGAAACACTTGTGGACAATAGGGATGGGCGATAATTTATTGTTCACGATATATCGTCAGATAAATATTTGCCATCTCATGAAAAATACGATAAATGCAAGTTGATGACGTAAGCGCGAGCGACGGACTCGCAGCCGTTGCCAGACAGATCAGAATAACAAACAAACATGGCCGAAGGTGATGAAGAAGACGTTCCTGAGCAGCTCGTTACTGAACAAAGCTCCACATGAGGGATTCCTTCAAGGTATGCCTGACGTCAGACAGTGGATCTGCTGCTGTTCACTCTGTTATAAGAGTTTTCAATAAATGTTGAAAATGTTTTCACATTTGAGATTTGTTTGATGTCACTGGTTTTCTCCATAACCTACCACTCAAACTTGTTAAGTATCTTATTTGGCGACTTCACGACGAAATAAGTAAAAAATACAGGTCGGAATTATAATATTTTTTTATCGGGACTTTTGTTGTTATCGCCAGAATGGTAAATCTTATTGTGATAATTTTTTCAGCCCATATCGCCCATCCCTAATGGACGATAATAATAAGACAACAAACCCAAGCCTAAATGCGTCCAACAACAACAATGGTGTCACATGCCTACAGATTCTGAGAAAGCCTGATGTTACCTATCTCACTTTGCAGCCCCATATGCGAGAGATGCACTTGAACAACAACAGATACAAGAAAATCTGAGACCATCCATATAAACAAGATCTCTGATGCATCAAGGCTGCAAAGAAACCCAGAGAGGAGACATAACAGAGCAAATAGTGTACTTTGTACTTACACTGTTTCCTCAAATAGAGATTTGAAAAAGTGCTGGAGGACTATTTCAAAACACTCTGTAACTGTGATGCATGTAAATACAGCATCAGTGTGCCCTAAGAGTGAACCATGGAGTGAAGTGTAATATGTATTCTGCTCACAGCGGCAGCAGATGCTCTATAGTGCTTCTCCACAGCGGTGATTTAACAAACCGCCTCGGCTGCTCGTTCTTTGTCCTGTACGGGAACAGGAGTACCAAAAGGTAAAGCCGCAAACCTCCTGTATTCACACCTCATCCCATTTCCATTGCTCTGGAGGTAAAGCTGTGGAGGCGCTGTATTTCATACTGCATTTCAATGGGCTGTTTTCCATACACCACTATAAGACTGTTATCAGCCATCGGCCCACAGTGAGATATGGTTCAGGCTTTATTGCATTTCCATGGAGCTGAGTGTTTCTCAGCTCCTCTATGGTGTTATCTCAGGCAGCGTATGGTGATCCTTCACTGGGACTTACTCCTCTCATCAATTCTGCCTGTCGCTCCGCTGAACCTCACACGTTCGATTGGCTGGCGGTCGGGCCGCCTCATTGGAAGCTGATTCTGATTGGCTCGGTCGGGTTCTTCATTAGAGACGACTTGGACAGCAGGCTGACCCTTGAAGGTTCCAGAGCATGTTGTGATAAATGAGCTTTTTCTCCTCTGTCAAACCAGCCGTTCATATACTATACACCATATCCACACAAACATACATGCATGCACACAAACAGACTCCTCTTGCCCCTCTCTTGTGTATACTGCATCAGTCCGAAGCAGCTGAAACTCAGCCGCCTGCAGCCTTGGCTCCTAAATCTAAGCTAACCTTTACTCAAAAGTGCTTACTGAAGTCTAATTTAGGATATGCAAACACGCAAACAGCCTCATTTGCATTCTGTACGAGGAAAAGTCTTCAGTTTTTGGCAGGTGCTGCGGAGTCCAAGCTGACCTTGATAAAAACACATCCAACATAAACTCAGTGCTCCCGGTTTGACACGAATCTCTGCAGCACTCATCCTTTATGTAACTGCAGTAAGAATGGAAATGAAAATAATTTCCCGTGGTGAATTAACACAGCGCACATGCTGGGTGGAAAATAAGTTTAGCTCAGCTGGCGGGATAATAAAAGATCTGCACCTTCACAGTTAGAAACAGTATTTTTAAACTGTGGCAACCGAATTTCCTCCACAGACAGAGTAATGTAATAGAAAGAATAACAAAATATGGTGTTCAAACTACACAACTCATCACTCCAAAAGGTACAAAACAACCACAACCATGACATTTTTATGCTAGGTCCATCCCTGCTTTAAACCGTATCAACCAGAAATACACACTTTAACCATTAAAACAACCCCCCCCATTCCCACAGTGATCCTGAATACCCTCCACTTCAGACTGAAAGAGTTGCAGAGGGAGACAAAGAGAGAGAAAGAGAGGGAGAGAGGGGGAGAAAGACAGACAGATGGGGGGATTTTACAGGAGTTACCAGCAGGTTTTTGCAGCTCTGCGTTTAAAACCACTGAGGCAGAGAGGATGATGCAGAGAGATGAGCAGGTATAGAAGGGCAAAGGAACGCATGAGGCTACATCACCGAGATCACTGCAGAGACACACACAAGCTGTATGGGATCACAAAAGCCCACAGAAAACACTTCTTTTTTACCTGGGTTTGAAGATTTGCCTGGTTCACGCTGAACACTTAAAAACCATTTAAGACAAAGCTGAATTTATTTCCACTTCTGATCAAATCCTACAACGACAGAGTATGAGAGCTTTTGGAGAGGACGCGCTTTAATAGTGCCCGAGGGGGTCAATTTCTCCACTCTGTTATGAGCATACTGCATGCAATAAAGCTAGAAATAAACATGCACAAAGAGCATCATGCCATAATAACATAGCTGCACAGGAATCCACCAGGCAGAGCTTTGGTGCCTTGCTCAAAGGCATAGTGGTAAAACTTGTCCCAACATCCATCCTTTGACTGAAGCCAAACTCTCTAACAGTAAGGGTCTATTGTCATCATGTACTGTAAAACTGCAGATGCCACTTTGAATGATTTGGTCTTATTGCTCCTGTTTGGATACAGATCCGTCCTTCCTAAAAAACTTCTTTTCCTCCTGCTGCCACCAGCTTTTTAAAGATTTATGATTGCCACTGTCTTCTTATTCGTGTTTTTCCATTTCTCTATTGTCTATGTCAGGGTTCGGCAACCTTAAACACTCAAAGAGCCATTTGGACCTGTTTCCCACAAAAAAGAAAACATAGGGAGCCACAAAAGCCCTTTGATATCTAAAATGAAGATAACATTGCATATATGTTTATTTTTTAACCTTTATGCAAAACTGTACTGTGTTGCATTTCTAATATGTTTGAGCAATGAAATTTCGTTTCTGCAGGCAAACAAAAATATTTTGAACAGTTTGAACTAACCTTAAAAAAGATGCTGGGTTGAAGGTTGCTTTCAAATAAAATGTTCAACGTCTAATGGAGTCCTCTTCGTATTCATGACATCAAAATTTAGACTTGCCACCTGCAGCAAAGTAAAAATGCTGTCTGCTTCTGTGTGCTGTCATCATTTAATCGCATACTGGAGTGTGCAGTCAGCTGTCAACGTGAAAACAAAACACTATTTCACTTAACAATGTAAAATATATATTTCCAAAAAAAATATCAAATTAACTTGCTTAATGTGACTTTCGCTCCTGAACCTCAGCGCACATCGTTTCCAGATCAGGGCTGTAAAACGTCAACTTCATCTTCACACAGGTTTTCGGTTTTTGTAAGTCAGCATTTATGACACATATTTTGAGCGACAAAAAACATTAAACACGGTTTGCTTTATGTTACAAGAGTATCATAATCTTAGAATTAAGAATTACATTTAAAAAACTAAAATAAAATTAAATAAAATATTTACTATCTATTTTTTAAATCCACAGGGAGCTGCATCAGAGGGATGAAAGAGCCACATGCAGCTCCAGAGCCGTGGGTTCCTGACCCCTGATCTTTGTGATGGCTGCTGGCTGGAACACAAATTGACCCCATGTGGTAGTAATGATATCCTTGATCCCTAGACCCCATCTGTCACCTGTCCTTCTTTGCATCCTGACAGTAGGAAGTTTTTATGTTCCTGCAGCAATATTGAAAATTTAAAGTTAGCTTCATCAGGGACTGAGGGAAATCATTTGCTTCCAGTGCAAAGATTTTCAAAAAAGCAGAGTGGAGGAAAAGCAGAGAGTAGTATAAAATTGAAGCGTCTTTGCTGACAGAGGTTTGAACACACAAAATAACCAGCTGCTTTAGTACACACAATCCAATTCAGTAGGCCTCACACTGCTGTCACACTGCTCCACTTCTTCAGACACTCACACATCTCCAGACATGCTGCTTTTATGTGTCAGAGTGTGTTCATCAGTGTGTGCGTCTTATCTTCTGCCCGACGCTGCATCAAGGTACACAGCTCCTCTGAGTTACACACTATCATTCTGTTATCGCTGCAGCTACAGGGGGTCTCTTAAGCAGGAAAAAAAAAACTCACTTTCTTGCTGCTTCAGCCAACTGGCATCACCTCCTGCTCTCCTACAGTACCCCCTCCTTTCGCCGCCCGCCTCTGCCAGCTCCACAGTTCAGTGAGCCATTGAGGGCTGATGTAAGAGCGTTAAGAGGCGCCCACCGCTGGCTGAAACAGCTGGAAGGAGAAGCTCAATGGGAGAGGAAACATAAGCAGCGAATCAACCCCCCTTAACCTGGTGACTCAAACAGCTTTCAGCGTGCTGGAGGTGAAAAAAACGCCGGGCAGAAGAACACAGATAAACACATATTTTATCACAATTAGAATAATAGATAGCCTTGTAACCGCCTCACCCTAGATTCCCATCTTTGGATTTTCCTGTAATCCTCTCCCCCCTGGCGAGAAACACAAGAGAGATAGAAGGATGAGGCTCCCAACAGCCAATAAATTAACATGTTTTTACATGCCCTTATCATGTGCATTTGGATGAATCTTGTTTGAGGAGGAGCTGCTAATGTGTCTGTCTCCGCCTGACAGAACAACCCTTTAGATGGCTGTGCATCAGAGCAGTGAGGAAGCCTTAACGCAGATTAATTAGGCAAACTGTGAGGATATGCTCTTTGGATCAGCATCAGATTGACTTTATTGTCAACTATTTATGCTAATTATAATTTAAATAGACATCATTGCGCTCAAATAAAGAAACAAGATCGTCTTACTTGCAGGTGGCACACAAATTAGAAATAACTGTACAAAACAACAATGATTGTAAGACAAAAGGAAGGTAGCCAAGGTTGATTATCCCAGAGAGAATTCAAATTGTGTTACAGGTTAATGACATTAGATGGATCAGTGTCATAAAGTGAAGCTGGACTAATGGACGGGCACGGTGGACAGCGAAAGAGGAAGATCAGCCACCATCAGAACTGGTTTGAAAGAGATTTGGTAAACGTTACTGGTTGTCACTAAGGCTGTAATCAACCAAAGAAATCTTTGGTCGACAACAACCCTGACATTTTCGACCAAAAATCGACTAATCCGCTGTGTTTTTCAGACTCTGACAGTAAACCCTTCTGCGGTCGGGGAAGACTCGGTTCAGTAGAGCACGGCTAAGCGGGGTGAAAATATACTGATATAAGCACAAGAAAGCAATGCCGATGTCTTTGAAATAAATATTCAGAAAACCACCGGACTTGGATTAACGTGGATGCTCTTCAGTCGGCCTCCAGTGGGTTGGGCGAATCCAAAATGGTGAAAACAAGAGGGATGTTCTGAGACAGGCTATTACCAGTGAAACAGAGGTGCTCTGAAAACACCCATTAGCACTTAGACTGTAAATTGACGTGGAAAAAATCAAGTCGACCAATCAGAATATTGGTCAACTCAACACGTACCAGTCGACTAGGACTTTACAGCCCTAGTTTTCACTGATGGGGTGCCAAAGTCAACTGACTTACATGCTGTTGATTTAACCGCTTATGGCTTTAGTTACGCCATAGCAACAAATAGATGCTTGCACCGGTCCTGCTGCCATTGCCTGGATTGCAGGACAAAATGTTGGCACCTCTGTCCTTTATCAGACACGGTTGAAGTCAAGTCACTCCCCATACTGCTCCACATCGGTGCCAGACTCTGAGACCCAAGCAAACATTTTTCACCACAATGTTCTTCAAGCGTAAACCAACATTTTTGCCACAGTGTCAACAGGCTGAATAATCTGATATGAGGTGTATGATCAAGTCTAACCAGGTGTTGCTTTGGCTATTAAGACTCAATTACTGCTGTTATGGAGTTCTGACCAATCAGAATCAAGTATTGAACACAGCTGGGTTATAGATACTATAGTTGTGAAATGTAAAGTCACAGAAGTTGGACATTATTTAGAGGTTGGACAGACTGAATGTCTCGTATGTCTGTATCTGGACCCGTTAAGACAAAAAAGAAACGTGGGATGTTTTCGTAAAGATATTTTGCCACTCATTGGTTTCGTGCTGCAAATTTGGATGCATTCACTGGAAGTCTTCAGTCACTTTACATTGAGTCTAAAACCATTCCTCGTGAATGAAGCCCCTCTGTGTTAACAGACTCTGAGGGCCCAGAGGGTGACTTCGACAA